TTTCTTCTGGAGATTTTGGATTACAGAAAAATTCCTCCTATATGTTAAACATCTTTTCTTCCATTGGTGTAGTCTAGGCAAAAGGCATTGGTAGGTCTACAACAAATGCTGACTGTGCATGTAAGTAACAGTTTCCACAGATGGTAATTTCTTACATAGTGACTGGTGGATGTCAATTAAACTATGAGCTTGCATGGCAAGGTCACAGTAAGATTGCAGAAAACTATAGATTGATAATAGACCATTGGGCGTTTACTTGTCACAAAGATAAATATAAATAAATAAACTAGCAATCAAGAATCCATGATCCTGATTTTGAGGGGGATGCATCTTTTCTAATTCCTCCCCTGGCAACAGTAAGATCCATCAGTTACCAGTCTTAAACAGAGACTAGAGAACTAGAAAATCTGTAGAACAAATAATTGTTGTTTCTGGAATAAGAATCTATCAAAGAATCCTCACTAATGTCCCTTCGCTTCTCCATCCCTGAAGTCCTCAATTCCACAATTTCGAAGAGAGAGAGAGAGAGAGAGAGAGAGAGAGAGAGAAAGAGAAAGAAGAAGAAGAAGGAATCAGTACAAGGATAACCAAGAATGTGGGAAAAAGTACAATATTGTGGGGTGAGATGGGGATATTATGTTGGTTTAAACCTTTTGGAGAGTGCTAATGATAATTTTTGTTAATGTAGTTAGAGAAGCTGAGTGACATACAGTGCCAACCTGAGTCACAGTTAAAGTTCATCACTGAAGCCTGGTTACAGGTAAAGTTCAAAATTGCAATTTCACTGTGGACTTAATATATGTTGCATGTGCTTACCGATGCTTCTCTACTTCTGTAGATAGTTGAATGTAGGAGAGTTCTGAAATGGACGTATGCCTATGGATATTATTTACCAGAGCATGAACATGCAAAAAGACAGTTCTTTGAATACTTGCAAGGTATGTTCTCCCCCGAGAAGTAATGATATATTATGCCTTTTTTTAGTTTTAACATTTCTCTGTCTTGCAGGTGAAGCTGAGTCTGGTTTGGAACGACTTCATCAATGTGCAGAGAAGGAGCTACAAGTTTACCTCAATGCAGAGGGTCCATCAAAAGATTTCAATGAATTCCGCACTAAACTTGCTGGGCTAACAAGGTAATGTTAATTTTGAAACATGTTCACTATCTCAATTTTCTATAGTATTGTTTAGAATTTGTAGTAAAGAAACCATCAGTTCTGTTCTTAATAATTAACGGTGTGATCTATGACAACAGTGTGACCCGAAACTACTTTGAGAATTTAGTCCGAGCTCTTGAGAATGGCCTGTCAGATGTGGACTCGCATGGTAACTGCAGCAGGACAGGGAGCTCAAAGAGCGTGGGAGGTGGAACCAGCAAGGGAAGAGGTGGGAAAGGCAAAGGTTCATCATCCAGGTCCGGTGGTTCCAGCAGAAACATTGATGATTCAAGCCATTGGTCCTGTGAACACTGCACCTTTGCAAATATAAGGTTAGCCACTGTTTGTCAGATGTGCCAGCAACGTCGGTAGATCTCACTGCCGATGCAAATTTATCCTCCACGATTGAAAGTCGTAAACTTTGCCTCCTGATATCTGGTAATGATGGCCAGAACCCGTAGACTATCAATCCAGGAAAGAAGCTTCGACCTTTCCACTCGAGAAATCCCAACTTGCGATACTACAGCAGTGTGGATTTGGGAAGGAAAGGTGGGTGAGGGGAATAAAGAACCCACTGCTAAAGATATTGCACTGTTGCAATATGAGCTGTATATATTTCCTTTCTCCATCCCCCGACTTGTATCACATGCCAAGGGCCATGTCCATATTATTAATATGTAATGTAATCTTATTATGATTATTTATTTTTGCTGCAAATTATGTTTGTGGCAAGGTCGAGTCTTTCAAGTGGATTGTAGTGAATACTATTTGTTATGGTAGGCTGCACTGGCCCCAGTAAAAATGAAATAAGAAAACCCTCTTTAATCTTCCCACAGGACTTCAGTCGTCAGAGCTTCTGCATTGTTTTTATTTTTTATTTTTGATAAGGGCAATAGTTAGTAAGTTAGTATTATTAGAAGTTAGTAACTGAGGATTCGATCTCTAAATTTGGTGAACAAGTCACTGGCCTCAATGAGGTGTGCAGTCATCAGTTGCTTGATGGAGTTTGAGCATCTGCATTGTTGAGACCCCTGCAAGAGGTGACGGTCATGAAACATTTTTTAAGATTGTCTCTCAAAACTGACATGGTAGCATAAAAATAATTGGCTTGAGATAACCATGTTCTTGTTCCATGAACTGTATATGTGCTTGACTTGTTTTGGAGGAGATATATAAATATATACATATATATATATATACAAGGAGTATTACCTATCAACCTTACCTCTTAAAGATTAAGAGAAAAATCATTTCAAAACTATGTAGTTTTAATAAAGTATTATAAAAAAGAATAAAAAACACTTTAATTCATACTCAATAGAGATTTATTAAAACTACATAATTTTGAAATGATTTTCCTCATAATTTTTAAGAGATAAAGTTGATAAACACTATTTCTATATATATATATATATATATTTCCACATCAAATAATAAGTTTACAAAGAAATCATTTTCTTTCTAAATCTTTTTTCACTCATTTCAAAATTTGAATTTAAAATCTCTAACAAAGACTTATCCATCTAAAAAATTTGTTAGGACATCTATCACTAGGACGTCCCCAGAAACATATGTTTTGGAGGAGAAAAATCGCTGCATTGTCCCATTCAAAACTTTGCTTTGCAATAGCGGTGGATTGACGCGGTGCTCCCCTTATGGGTGCATGTTCTGCAATTACAAGTATTATATATGTCTGCCAAGATCTGCAATTGAATATATTTCACACGTTTGATGGAAAGATGCCCAAACAATCTATGGTTAATTACATAAAAAATTTAAACCTTCAAATACAGCAGTACTTGGCTTCCATAAAAAAGGAGACCACTAATTTTGATGGCACTATTTCCTAAAGATCATTGTCTTGGTTAGAAAGTCAACCAAACTAACAATAACTTAGAAATGAACCAAGAGTAAAAGACAAAAACTACCATTAGAAACGTCAGCATCTCTAGGTCTTGCTACCAAAACTGGTACCACAGATCTTAGTGTGTTTCAGCTCCTATCAAAGTAGTTAGGTGTACATACCCTGATGCACCCGGTCCTTGATGTAATCCCTGTTGATAAAACATTAAATAATTCTGGTCAGGAGCAGCATTTAACAACAAAGTAAATGAGGACAGTAAAACTCAGAAGCAATTCTTGTATTTTGGGCTCCCTGGTAACTAAGTCATCTAAAAATGTCAATAACCCAGAGCAGCATTATGAATGCAAAATCATGTAAAGGGTTTGCAGGGAGAGGCTGCTTCTAGACATCTATAGATGACATAAGATCCTATATGCTGCTAACATAAAAGATCACACATAACATACACTGTTATTGCAGATATTCTGTTTTGTAAATGCAAAAATCTAAATACTTACAAATTTTGACACTTGACAATTACTGTTTGCAAGTGGATTTGTTGTGCCCAAGACCCTTGCATCTACTGCACTGAAGTTGACGCTTCATTACCTCAAGAGATCCAGATTTCTTTGTGGTAGGCCGGCCTGGTGGACGTCGAGTTGGAGGAGGGGTTACAGTCACTACAGTTTGCGAAGAATCTCTCTGGCCAGGTCGTTTTACATCTGGAATAGGATTTATAGATTCTGAATATGTTTGCCTATAGCTGTCCATTGTGAAATATCTGGCACAATAATCATATGGGCTACGCCCTGTACAGCTGATGACAGCAATAGCATGGCAGCAGGGTAGACCAGTAAGCTGCCACCCTTTGCAACTACAATCCCACCTATCCATATCAACTGTTTCAATGGTCTCACCACAAACCTCAAAAGTGCTACCAGAAGTCAGCATCACCTGAAGGGAACGGACTTTCATGCTTTCTTTCTCAAGTTTTTCCTCCATGGATGGTGTTAGGCGTGACAACCACTGACCAGATTCTGCTCGTCGAGTATTTATTAACTCCATAATCTTTCCCCGTATGGCATCAACCATCTGTGTTATTGGTAACTCATGTGCATCTGAAGTCCAGCTGTAGAAGAGTTCCCCAAAGTTTGATGTCAAATGATTATATCTTGAACCTTGGAAAAGTGCATTTGCCCAATTCTGGGGCTCACTCTGTATGATCCAATTGTAAGCCTCCAACCAAATACTTTTGATGCTCTCAAGACTGCTATGAAATCCCTCAGGCCTAGGTGCATAAGCTGCAGCATATAAATACTCAATCATAAGCTGTTTCACCTCATGAGAAAACTGTCCATTCAAGTCTCTTAGAAGCTGTTCAGTTAAGTATCGCAGGCAATAACTGTGGTAAGAATCCTTAAATATCTCGGAGATTGATTCCTTCAATCTCTTCTCTCTGTCTGCAATAAAAGTTAAAGGACAAGAAGATGGCAGTGCTGATTTCAATTGCTGCAAAAACCAATGCCAGTTAACAGCAGTTTCGGCATCTACTATGGAAAAAGCAACAGGAAACACACCATCATCACCATCTACAGCAGTAGCAGCCAACAATGTCTCCTGATATTTGGACTTCAAGGGAATGCTATCAAGAAAAAGAAGAGGTCGACAACCTTGCAAGAAGCCATACAGAGAGGCATGGAATGAAATAAAGAGACGGTGAAAACTTGAATCTTCCTTAGTGGTAAATGTGGCAATACTGCCTGGATTGGTCTCTGTTATCCTCTCACAGTAAAAGGGCAACTGCTTGTATGCCTGTTTGTATGAACCCTGAAGCTGCTCCCTTGCAATTTCTTTCCCCCGCCAAGCCTGAAAGTAGTTGAGTTGAACCCCATATTCTAGTTTTATGTCATTGACAATATCCTTGGGCTTGTAGTTTGGGAAAGCTTTTAATTTCTCTTTAATGATACTAGCCACCCAACTCCTGTTTGCCTGATTCCCACTCATAAGAGCTGCCCCATCACATGTATGTGTTGGATTCATCTTTTTGATACATATTAGCTGAGTGGTTGTCAACCTTGATGCATGAATTCTCCAAGGACAGCTGTCTGTCTTGCATTTAACAGTCACACGATGACTATCATTCTTTTTATACTTAAAAGCAAACTGGTTTGCAAGTGCATATTTACGTAATGCCTCACGAAATTCATTAACTCCATTGAACCTTTGCCCTACTCCTGTGATAGCATCCTGCCACTGCTCAGCAGCTTTTGCATGTTTCTCTTCATTGGAGTGAAAGAGAGAGTGAACAGGTACTGCAGGCAGGACAATTTGTGTATCATCAATATGTGCCACAACAAGGTTGGTACCATCATCAGCATCAAGAGAAGCATCAAGAGAAATATTATGTTGAGTGATATCACTAACAATGTTGTCAATAACATCTTGGGGTGGATCAACAGAGGGCACTGCTTCTGACAAAGTTGTCCTACTTGACCTATAAAAATAAATAATTACCACAATCAGGCCAACCAAAAACAATAAAATGAGAAACTTTAGCATGGACTTCAGGAAAACTACCTATTAGAAACATCAGGGGCAACAACCTCTTCAATCATGATATAAACATCAACAGTGTGAGAATCACCATGAAATGTTAACATCCGCTTTAGGTCCTTATCATTGGAGACAGTAATGAGAGTCTTCTTATTACCAGGGAGAAAATACTTAATAGACATTGTGTTAACGCTACAGCTAAAGATTTCTGCTACTTCCTTCTTGAAGTCATCAAATGTCATTTGGTCATCAAGATCTATAGCATGAGCATCCCCACCACTATATGACAATGAACCATCCTTATTGGTCTTAAATTCACCACCCAACTGACAAATTGCTATTACACTTTTGCCAGCCATCACCTGTCAAAGTCAACCAGAATAGTCAAGTTTGTTCTCAATCATAAAAAATAAAATGCAAAAGAAAAGGCTTCAGGATTGAAGTGATTAAAAAATACCGATGATTAAAAAATTAAGTGAACTGCCAAAATTGTTTATATACGCTTCTGTTCAGCAGAAGCTAACAAAATTGCTATAAAGATAACCAACATTAACATCCCAAGCTCTGCAAGATTGCAAGGTAGTACCAAGGCAACAACAAAGTTCAGTAATTTTTCCTCTCCATGATAGAAAAATGTCCAACACAAAACCTCTTTGGGTTTCTTCTCATAATACTGGCATTAGTTCCCACCCCGAGACAGCATACAAGATTTCGTGAGGTGGTAAGCTAGTAAAGTCCTTCCTATGTAGGACTATTTAAACTGTCGGTATCAAATTGTAGCCAAATTAATAATTCAATTACCCCAATACAGCAAAGTCATACAAGAAAGACGAAGGGAATGACCACATTCTGATTACATTCTCAAAGTAGTGACTTTTGCAATGTTAATTTAAAAAATTCTTTAAGTTGAGTCGATGTGGTTAATAGATTTCCAACAATTACATCAAGGTGCTAATTCAAAATTCCAGTTTTCTCTCTCTTTATACATTCTCTAATCAACAAAAACCATATGCAAACCCAAACAAACAACCAAGAGCACAAATTACATAGATCAAAAACGAAGAATGAAATTACTAGCATGAAAAATTCAAAAACAGAAACAGCGAGCAGAACTCCAAAAAATTGCGGTGAGAAAGTAAATTTGAATTGAAAAACTGGGTAAGAGAAGACGGAAAGAGAAACAGAGAAACGAACCTTCAAAAAGGAGAAGGCCCTTCCAAAGCCCTTCCGTCGGTGTTATCGTCTCTAGGGTTCCGGTTGAGGTAAAGAGAAAATCTTTGAGTGATGGGGTCGCGTCTGAGCTCCGGAGCGGAATCAAGAAGATGTTTATGGAATCAGAGGCACGTTGTTCCGATTTAGACCTTTCGATTTTTATGCTCAGAACACGAACTACAGAAATCCGCCGCCGCTGCTTAAATAAACAAGACGACGTTTCAAAAGTTATTTATATCTCTTTACCGAAACCGAATATATTTATATCAAGTATTATTTATTAAAAAAAAATGTTGAACTCTATATTATATTATAAGGGGTAGGACTTGTTTGTTTTATTTTTAAAAAATTAAGG